CTTCAGAGAGGCCCCTTGCCAAGTGATGATACAAGAAGTCTGCCACCTGGAAACAGCTATCAGCCAGCCACGTAGGCACCCTGATCTGAGACTTCCAGGCTCTAGAACAGTGAAAGCTAAATTTCTGTTGTTTATAGGCTACCCAGTCTGTGATATTTTGCTATAGCAGCTCCAATAGAATCAACCTAACATTTTCTATAAATCTACTGTGGGCCAAGCATTGTACAAGCATCAAGCTCAATTTCTGCTGTTATCAAAGCTCACTGTAATTTTATTACCAGTTTATGAATGTATAGATGGGGAAACAGATGATAAAGAGGTAATTATTTTAACCAATGTATTCTTATTACAATAGCAACTTCAGAATTTTAATGCATATTTGTTCAATTCCAGTGTTAGTGCTTTTTGTAACCAAATAATGCTTCCTCTTACTGATTACATTGGTCAGTCTTCACTGCCAGACTGTGAGTGTTATGAAGTCAGACACGGTAACGTTCATCTCTGATCCCCATGCAAGGAGACATGGCTTTCAAAACAGGAGGTGCTGGATGAATTAGAAAAGACATGCTTTCAATTCACAAGCAGAGCCCTAACTGACTAAGAATCTCGCTATCTAGCCCAGTGATGGCGAACCTATGACACTCAGAGGTGACACGCAAACTCATTTTTTTGGTTGATTTTTCTTTGTTAAATGGCACTTAAATATATAAAATAAATATCAAAAATATAAATCTTTGTTTTACTATGGTTGCAAATATCAAAAAATTTCTATATGTGACACGGCACCAGAGTTAAATTAGGGTTTTTCAAAAGGCTGACACCCCAAGCTCAAAAGGTTCGCGATCACTGATAGCCTAAACTGTACCACCACCTAGTGGCAAAAATGACTTTTGACTTCTGCTGATTTGAAGTAAAAAGAAACATGTCTTAAACCTAATTTTGCAAATTTAATGTCAAGAGGAAAGGCAAGTGACACAATCTGCTAAAGAGTTGTCCAAATAAGTATAATATGTCATTCATAGAAAATTGAAAAATCTCCAGGAACTTTGGGAATAAATGCATTGTTTACACTTAGCATCCTACTGAAATGGAAAAGAAATTTATAGACAATAGGAGTATTAGTCTTTCTTTTAATGCTAGATGTCATGTGAATTCAATAAAAATCTCTAAATTGGCTTTAATATTTGTTTTAGTAACAGGAAACAAAAATTTTTTAGGGTCTGCACTATGTATATAGATAAGATACAACCGTCAAAGTCTTGATGTGCTAAATTAAAAATACTTTCCTACAAAAAATTTT